TCAGCTGAAAGACATACTTTGAGTCAAATCATCCCCAGATTCACCTTTTGCTGGTATACCTAATTTCAGCACTTGATGCTGTTGTGTTTCATGATTTTAAACATCTTTTTTTGTGAATTGCTTTCAGTTCCCTTGTAGATGACAATGAAATAAACTGGACAAATACACTTGTATTACCTTCAGAAATGGCTGCATTTCAGGACACCGGGAGAAATTGCGATTTAATCTCAAAGTCATCCTTTTAACGCGGCCTACATATTCAGAACTTGAACTAGGTAAGGCACGGTAAGGCAAGTTTATTTGTATTGCACAGTTCAAACATAAGGAAACTCATAAATAATTGTACATTTAAAAAATCCTCAGTTGTCTGCACCACTGAACTGAACTGTTTTTAACCTGCATCCGAACATTGTAAAAGAAGAAGCCTGTCTCAGATTTTCCAGATTTTAGAAGCATGAATCTAAAATGCTGGCTTCTCATGTTTAGTCCTGACTCTGGGCACTAGCAGGAGACCAGTCCCTAAACTAAAGTTCATTTGTATTTCAAATCTGTTTTCATTATTTCCCTGAAGCCTCACACAAGTGGGTCTGTAATGTCTGTTCACATGGACCTCGCTGAGTTTCACTTCCTTCCTCTCTTCCATTTCCTGATTTCCTTTACGCACAAGGTCCACAGCTGCACGTGACTTACAGAATTGATAAATAAGTATATACTGTGTTTACTGTACATTAAACACACACATCTGCTCTCAAATTTAGTATGTCAATTTAAATCCATACTTTGTTAACTTCAACCTCTCAGAATGTTGATTTCCTGATCATTCCAAGTGATTTGTTTAGACTATAGTATGCATGGTATAAGCATTGGTATAAGTGTTGAATACAGTATATCAAATCCTTACTCTATTGTGTTCACTGTAGCTCAACCACAGAAGAGAAGACATGCTTCTCTGCTGTATAAATCTTAATATCAAACATCCTTTTATGAAACAAAAAGGGGAACTTGAGCTTGTAGAGTAAACCACAGCCGCTGCTCAATGCTCCATGACTCTGAGCCTCAAAACTTCAACTCCAGACTTTACTGAGTGACAAAAACAGCCAGTGATTATGTGGTGCCTTTTCTTAAAAACAAAATGCAGCGACAGCAGCTGTGGTCAAAGTTTGTCTAGACGGACATGTTCCCTGCAGAGTAAAACGCTGTTCAAAGCCCCTTTATTTCATATTGATCATTGAACAGTTTATTTTTTGTTCTTTTTATTTATTCTATATTCATTCAACCCATACCAGCTGTTTCAATTTGTACTTGCTATATAAAAACATTTTACTTTTGTTCTTGTTTTATTAGAATCAAGCCATTAGGACTGGTGGGATTGTGCCAAGCCTAGATAAAAGTACATGTTATTTTTTCTGTTGTTAAAAAAGTAAAAACTTGGGTGCACACATTTTTGTTTAATGCATAATATAATGTGTTGTCCCAACAGAAGAATCTTGCAAATGTAATTATTGCCTAATTTTCACAATTCAACTCATTGGGCTGAGAGCTGATGGACTGAATATAGGTGGTTCTTACTTCTTCAGTCTTTTATCTGAAGGTGATCTAAATATGTGACAGTGACCAACAAATGCAGGCAAAACTTGGTGTAATACCAAGCTGTTTTGAGAGCAAGGAACTAGTTAAGATTCTATCACATTTAGTATATACTAGGTACCCCAGTTTTAATAGAATGAAAACAAAAGAGCAAACCCCCCCATTGGTTAAAAGCCCATATATAGTTGGCCTTGTGTCAGTATTTTGTGTCAGTATTGTTAATTCCTAGGTATTTTTGCCTGGTGAATCCTGCCTTCTGTAACTCTGAATGTAAATACATTCTAAACATAATTGAAGTTGCAGAAGGCCGGTGCTCCCTGATGTCCCACACATGAAACCTCCATAGCATCAGAAAAGCATTATGTTTTAATTACTTTCTAACCACGGCCCAGCGGAAAACTCTATAGAGCCATGAGTCTTCAGAGGGAGATGCACGGAGGCCAGACAGGGCTCTTTGTGGCCTGTCCCGTTACTGCCTTTGTCTGTGCCTCTCTAGTCCCTGGGGTGCCCCACGTTGGTGTCCCATGTGTTAACATTGGCCAGTGATAAAGTAGCTGCCACGGGTCTCATGAATTATGCAGGCAAAGGGGAAGCAACTCCGCCCTGTGTTATGTAAATGTGACTTTGGGGAGACACTGGGAGGGGTCTGCATCACAATTTATGTCTGCATCATATTGGGGAAATAAAAGATTTGATATGAATTCACAAGTTCAATATGGAACAGTGAAAGTGTACACAGTTGTAACAAATGATGAACACAGGAGAGACTCATCTGCTTTCTACATAGTCATTAATATATCATGTGAGTATTTGAGATCCCAATTGAGTAATGAATTGAAATATTCAAACCTGGGAGATGGCTTACAATTTAGAGGCCAAAGCAGCCTAATTGCTAGCATTGCTAATTGCTTCATCTCTACCAAACCCAGGACACTTTCTATACAGCGGTCTAGCTTCCAACAAAAATGTCCCCACATTTTAGTTATTTCTTTTATATTAATGTCTTTAGGAAAGGCAAGTATATTTGTATGGCACAGTTTCATTAACAAGACAACTCAAAGTGCTTAACAAAAACCAAATAGAAGCAATCACACAGGCATTCAAATCATAAACTAATCACAGTACATTAAAAAGATAAAATCCCTCAGTTGTGTGCAGCTAAATAATTATGTTTAGCTGCATAAATCTGAAATGCTGCCATTTAGTTCTGACTTCTGGGCACCAGCAGGAGGCCAGTCTTTCAAAGTTTGACTTGGTTGATATGGCACTAATATGTCTAGGATGTACTTTGGTGCGAGGCCATGGAGAGTACACAAGCAGAGCTGCTTTAAAGTCTATTCTCTGAGCCAAAGGAAGCCAGTGCAGAGACCTGAGAACTGGACGATTGGGATCATACTTCCTGGAGCTGTTGCGTTTTGAATATCTACGACATGTTTGGAGAGCCCAGAGAGCAGCCGTTACAGTATTCTAACCTACAGGAGACAAAAGCATGGATAAGAATGCTTTTGGCCTAACAACTTTTTTAAAGTATGTTCAATTATGAAAAGTAACTCTCATACTCTGTAATTGCATACACTACTGTTTGTTTTAATTTAATAAAGTGTCAGAGCTATTTTCTTCCTTTTCAAAGTTGGTGAAGCGGTGTACGGAGCCTGTCACAGAGTCGGAATGTTGATTGTAAACATATCTACATAGTTGTTATCTCACATATAGAAAATCAAAAGTGGTTTAAATGGGGCACTTGATAATTTACAACTGCAGATGCTCTCATGTCTACTCACAGTGTTAATCATAGGACCACAGTGAGTAAGACAGCCATTCATGCAGAAAACAAACTTACTATAAATAACCCGGTCACATCCTCAACTCTTCATCCCCACATTATGTCATTATGTCAACAACACTGTCTTTCCCATCATTGACAAACTTCTAACAGCAATGGATCGATACACTTTCATTTCAAACCGTAAACACATCATTCAGGCTTTTATATTTGAGATGCTTGTCCACTGATCTAACCAGTTTAATTGGCCAAGTCATCATGTTGTCATATCATGCTGTGACAATGTCTTCCAGGAAACAGGAGTCCATTTCATGTCTCCATCACTTGTAAAACACATTGATAGCAGAAAGATGAAATCAACTTTGAACGCGAAGTGGTTTTCAAGGTGATGTCAGCAACATAAATTGTATTTTATTTTAAGAATGAATACATTTCGACCATATGGTTGCATACTACAAGTGTTTTCTCATGTTATATATTCAAATATTGTTAAATGGACGTTATTACAATTTTGATCCCCTTACCCACAGTATAGGTCTGCAGGCTGAGGTGCAGCAGTAGGTGTACATTGTCACTAAGCCAAAATGTGAGACTTGCAGATCCAGTATTATTAATCTGGCTCCATCCGGTTACTGAGCAGATGGTATCAGACTCACAAGAGCCAATGACCACAGTCCACCTACACCTACTGCGTTTGTCAACCTATTTTTATGTAGATTAATTCACTGAAACCCACAGAGAGACCAGCCAATTAAAAAAAGATGGAGAAAAGGATTGTCAGGAATGAATCCAGTGACATTGACTCCCTAAAAAACAAAAGTTAGCAGCCTTATGTTTTGGCCTTTGCACAGTGATCCATCACCTTCAGGGGGCAGAGTAAGGAACAAATAACGGTGTCATTAGTACAACCAAACCACGTCTTACACACATACAACTGATACAAATGTAACACTTGTAAAGAGTCTTGTAAAAGTAACATTTTATGTTCAAATCAGACTAAAATATGCAGTAACCCATTTTTTTTTTAAATATATATATAAATGAGTACTTGTAGTAAAGAGCCCTTTGAGTCACTATCAGACGCTTTGGGTTGAGAGCTGGTCGAAGACTTTTTACTTTAAATAACGGATCTAAAAATGTGACAGGGGCCAACAAATACGTGCATGTGAAAACACGTGAAATTTGGGCACCCCAGCTTTAAGATCATCGAGGTCAATGTAATCAATTTTAACATGGACTACTGTGAGTGAATAGGCGACTAAGTATTGTCATTTATTTATTTATTGTTTATGTGGTTGGGGACAGTGCATGTTAATAAACACATGACTCCGGATTGAAGCCATGGGCTAACTTGTATGCAAACTCAACTCGGAAAGGCTCTGTTCCAAACGGGATTAGAACCAAGGACCTTCTTGCTGAGAAGCGAGAGTGCTATCCAGACAGCCACTGTGCCACCCATGAGGTACAGCCAAAGTTGTCGGTTGAAACTGTTCACATTCAGTGGCATGACTTAGTTTGGATGTGTTTGAGCCTGAACTTCACTTTTGCCGGTTTCTGCCTTTGGGTTGAAGCAGTTCACGCTCGTAAACCCCGCGCGTCTGATGTGATGCCTCTTCTATCATCCTCTTACCTGTGACATTTGCGGCCGGAGGTTGATCTCCTTCAGGTTGATGCTCTGGACGTGGAGGTTGTTGAGCAGATGGCAAAGCAGCACCCCGTCCCGAAGTGTCTGAGCCAAGTCGAAAACCTGCGCGGATTCCCACGTCACCCTGTGGTTGGCTGGGAGCACCTTGCAGTGGATCAGCCACAGCGCGCATTGCCTCCAGTACTCCATCATGTTGAGACTAAAACACGGGCGAATATTCTGTGTCCAGGGGGCGACAGCGCTGCGTTTGTTGACAGCTAGCAATCACGCCGAGCCCATGTCCAGTCCGTGCGTGAAAAGCAAGCGAAAGGAGAAATGTGGGTATAGCGCTGTACGCTCCGGGGAGGACAATCCGCTGAAGTGATGCCGTCTGTGGTGTGGATATGTGGATACTCACGCTTCCTCTGGCGCTCTCTCTCCGTGTGCGCCCTCCCCCTTTGCGCACACTTCTCACCTCTTCCGCTCTCTGCTTTGATAAACTGCTGTAACAGAAAGTATAGTCGCACATCTCGCTTACTTATGAATAAAGATTACAATATGTTGTTTATGCATGTTTATCTCTGCAACTGTGTCATTGAAGGTGATGACTCGTATAGTACTATAGAATAAAATAATGATTAATAATAATAATGCATCGGTTTTATATAGCACTTTTTTGGACACTCAAAGACATGTCATTATTCATACTCGGTGGTGATAAACTACTATAGTAGCCACGGCTGCCCTGGGGCACACTGACAGAAATTGTATTATTTATTTTAGTTTTCATGGTTTGGTTTCCTTATCACGAGCACTTACCATCAATAGCCCCAAAATGATTTTACTCCTGATTACATGTTATACTTTTAATCCTCACCAGGTGGCAGTAAGGAGCAAAGTCAAGTTAATCAAGTTAATTAGACGCATATGGCAGCCAACATTTTAATTTAGCATCATAAATAACACATTGGCCAGCACTTCTTTATTGCCAATTACACTACTTGTCTATGGTGAAATGGACAACTGGTTTAACCCTTTAGGCACCAGACCAAACTGAATTTGAAACAGACAAAAGGTGGAGGTCTGAAACTTCATAAGAGAAAGATGACAACGAATATCCATAACTGAATAAATGTAAGAAAAATAGAGGGGAATGATTTGTGGGAACCTGCTCATGTTTTGTCTACCTTTGTGCCTAAAGATTTACATATGTGTGTTTGTTTGTTTGAGTTTGTTGACACACGTCTCAATAACGTCCTCTCACCAGGGGGATCATCTCATAAATGTATAATAATAAGTGTATTTAAGAGCCCTGTAACTCACCAACCACAGTCCACCTCAGAATATACCCTGCACGGTTTGAACATGTTATAGATCTACTGTATTATTCCACCACAACCACACTCAACAGACTAAAGCAAGATGAATGACTGCAGTTTTGCAAATCCTTATTCTGCACCATCCACCAGAGCACTTTCATAAGAGATCCGCAGGCAGACTGACTCCCCAAGATTATTGTCTGAAAGTCCTGGCTGAGGATCATATTGCCCTTGAACAAGACAATTAGGCTAGAGCTGCAGAGGAGTCCGGAGACGGAATTATAACGATATGAGCCTGAAGAGTGCTCCTGCCATACACTTAAGATTATATCATTTCCATTGATCTCTGCAGGGCTATTAGCACCACATAGCTGTAACTGTAACTGTAAGAAGAGCAGATGTGTAAATATGACTTACAAATCACTGTGACTTAGACACATATACAGTTGTCTTTCTTAGCGGTGCGCATCAATAATGTAACGCAATGGTGTAAAAAGGCCAACAATATAACTGCAATTCCAGTTACTTCAATAAAATATTACTACAGCTTGTATTCAAACCTTTTTGAACATCCTTGTGAATTGTACCTGTATGGAATAAAGTTAATATTTTTGTTTCACGGGGCTGAGTGGATAGCACTCTTGCTTCTCAGCAAGAAGGTCCTGGGTTTGAAAAGACGGAACAGGGTCTTTCTGAGTGGAGTTTTCATGTTCTTCCCGTGCCTGCGTAGGTTTTCTCCGGGTGCTCCAGATTTCCCTACCACTAAAAACATGCACACTAGGTAAAATCCTCCAGCTTCGGTAGTCCTGTTCAAGCCAACCATCAAAATCTGGATATGGGTTTCCAGGCACTGTGACTACGGTGACCACTGCTCCTGACGTAAGCCTCAGTGGCATCAGGATGGGTCAAATGCAGGGGATAAATAAAGTACACCTTTACTTTCACTACAGCTTGGGTGTGTTCACAGTCTTTTTTAATATCTGAACTTTAAAAAGGATTTGACTACTGTGACTCCATAAAGAAAAAGAAGGTCATCAGTGACAAAGCAGAACAAGAACTCCCAAAAGATTGACATGGCTAACACAATATAATTAAATCACTTGATTTAAATGACCCTTTAAAAATGTGTAATGGATGTGATGATTTCCGTCAATTTTACAACATTAAAATTGAGGAAAAAAATTATTGTCTGGTACCGCATTTAATTGGTTGACTAAATGAAAGTCATCACTTTGTTTCTATTCTGTGTAAAATGTATATATATATATATACAGCAGCTCATTCCGTCAAAGGCATCACATCCGTGACAGATAAACAGAGCCGCTATAGAAAATACTAATGGACAGAAGAGGTATTTGGCTGAATGAAAATCATTCATATATCTTCTGATTATTAACATCAAATTTTAGGCCTTCTGTCACACTTTTCTACCGTCTAGAATGAACAAGCCCATTTGAACCCATAAATATTTCATAACAACCATTCGGTTCTGTCGATTTGAAATCGGTCGATTTGATATAAACACTGCTTTCTACCTGTAGGTAAGAAAGCAGTACCGACTACTCTCCTTTCTCCATGTACGTCTTCAGAACTTCTTTATTAGTATTGTAAATGAAAATAGTTAAAATTATTTCCGTATAGCCCTAATCAACAACAGCAGTTGTCTCAATGGACTTTACATTTTGTCAGTTTGCCAACAAATCAGAGTATCTATCAATCCTAAGACAGGAAAAGTAATAAACATTAACAAATAGGGGCTATTGATCCATGGGGTATGACGACCATTTCTATAAATGTAAGTAAGTGAGTGAGTGAGTAGTCATCTTTATTTACGTAACACATTTCACAAACCAAGAAAACCAGGATAATCATTGTCCTTATTGATCCTCCTGAATTTGCAAGGAACAACTCTTTACCTTTTTAGGTATTGTTACATTGTCTTTTGGATAGAGCGGCCCATCCTGAAAAAAAACATTGTGGAAAAGATACCCTATTCAAAAAATGTCAAGTTATGCTCCATATAATGAAATACCCAGTATTATATTTATTTGATGTTTTCAATTTTGCTGTATGAATAAAAATTACTGAACTGTGATAATTAATTTGCGATTGACTTAGACTTCATGGATGTGGACGTTTGTTTTCCAGAGTTGAAAATTGTTCAGATGTAACACCAGTGTGAAAAGGATTTAGTGATTTCTCTCACTGTGACTGGACTTGACGGCTTGCAGCGGGCATGTCGCGCGAGGTGCGTCCCCGCGATGGAAAGACAGCCATGTACCCCGAGTTATCAGATGGTTAACAAGCTCCGGATGTGGGGACACTGGATAAGACAGGTACAGAGACATTTCACTGATTAAACATATATCTAACAAATTAGTCTAGACTAATTCGAGCCTTTTTCTAAAGGGTGGAATTTCAGAAGGCTGTCAAGTGCATGAATGACCAATTTGGATGTGTCTGTAATATTTTATCTGGAGAGATATCAGACTGAAAAAATAATGGGTAAACGGGTATGAGTCCAAGGAAACAGCATGATAATGTCTGGGCACATTTCAATTTGGAGAGACGAGAAACGAAAATGGTTTTGAGTATTTATTGAGGTGGTTTGGCGCCCTAGGCCCCGGTGCGGCCTTCAGATCGGAGAGGCTCCTGCGATGGAGCGCGTACAATCCCCCGGGACCTAGGCACTGGTGGCGGCATTTTGGCAGATTGGAGGCAGATTGGAGGCAGATTGGAGGCAGGGTGAAGAGGAGGAGGAGGGGAGGCGGTGGTTGCGAGGCTTCGAGAAGGCCGAGAGTGGGAGTTGCTCCGTCTTTAAGCGGCTGCCTGTCCGGCACGGATGATTGGAAGGGGGCGTTTGCTGAGCGATAGGCTGGGGAAGCGAACCGGCCTGGAGGGGGTTGCTTTTGGCTGACGTCTACCAAATTGAATTTTCGCGAGCTACATTTCAATTTGGAGAGACGAGAAACGAAAATGGTTTGGAGTATTGAGGTGGTTTGGCGCCCTAGGCCCCGGTGCGGCCTTCAGATCGGAGAGGCTCCTGCGATGGAGCGCGTACAATCCCCAAAAAGGCTGTGTGTGTTGATGGAGTTTTGCAGCCTGGTTTGCAGGGGACAGACGTCGTGGCTGCTCTATGCTGTGACCGCTATCGCTATGCTGTGACCGCTATCTCTATGCTGTGACCGCTATCTCTATGCTGTGACCGCTATCTCTATGCTGTGACCGCTATCTCTATGCTGTGACCGCTATCTCTATGCTGTGACCGCTATCTCTATGCTGTGAACCGTTTATGCGCTAACCATTTTTTGCTATGCTGTGACCGCTAACACTAACGCTATGACAGCTACCACTGACGCTATGACCGCTATCACTGACGCTATGACCGCTATCACTGACGCTATGACCGCTATCACTATGTGCTGTGACCGTTATATGCGGTTATCTTTGAGTGCCGGGACGTGAGCGCTCGCATCACGATCAACCGGACGCTGCGGCAGGGTTATCTTTGAGCGCTGGGACGTGAGCGCTCGCATCACGATCAACCAGACGCTGCGGCAGGGTTATCTTTGCGCGCTGGGAACGTGAGCGCTCGCATTACGTTCCGTCAGACGCTGCGGCAGCGGAGAGTGTTTGAGAGAAATGCGTGCCGCCACCAGAATCTTATTGGTTCACTTACTTTGTTTGAGATGAAGGTTGAAAGGGTCAGGGGACATAATGTTGGGTGAAAGAGAGCGACCTTTGTGTAAGCTTCCACTACGTCGAGATTATCACACATGACCGAGATCCTCTTTCTCCGCCACGTGTGATTCCGCAGCGCGCAGGCTACGACCACTGGGAATATCTCGTGTAGGGCAGAGGAGATGCTCCGGTGGAAAGTAGCGGCCACGGCCC